CCCCCCCCCCCCCCCCCAAATTTTCCTATGAATACCCTCACACCCCAATTTTTCCTATAGTTCACTTATTCATCAAATATTTCAAAAAAAAAAATTTCAAATTTTCTGGGCCGACCCGGAACCAGCCCGGATGGGCCCGGAACCGGCCCGAACCGGCGGGCCAACCCGGCCCGTTGAACCGTGCATATTACGGGCCGGTTCCGGTTCCGGAAAAAGTGAACCGTGAACCGGTATGAACCTGCCCGCAACCGGCCCGTGGCCGTGTCTACTCCACCATACTCCCTCGATCCACATCCCCTGCTCCCTCCATCGTCGGCGGTGGTTGTCTTCGTGTAACTACTGAAGACCAAGAGAAATATAGAGAGATGAAAGCAAAGAACGAGAGAGAAAAGGAGATAGAGAAAAACGTGTGAGAGAAAGATGGAGAGAGAGAACGTGTGAGAGAGAGAAAACAAAAAAGAAGAAAAATAAATCTAAACTGACGTGAATATAATTTAGGGTATAAGGGCAAGATAGGAATTAAAAAAAAATTAGGGATGTGGCTCATATATTATTTCAAACTAAGAATTTAATTAAAAAATTGAATTTTGATTTGTCATTTACTTCAAATTAGGTTTCTTTTGATGGGCTCATGGCATATTAACCCTTAAAAAAAACTGAAATAAAATAGTTGACATCATTATAAGGCAAACTTTTCTTTATCAAATATTGGGCCTTTAGTTTGGGCTTTGGGCCCAATTATGAGTTATTTTGTTTTTTCTTTTTTGACTATTGAGAAAAGACTAATTCATCCCAAAAAAAAAAAAAACTATGAGAAAAACCTCGGGTAATCGGGTTTTAAAGAAAATTATTTTGAAAGGTTTATAATATTGTTTTTTTTCTAAATTGAAATAATAAATACATGACAACTTTTAGTAATATGACAACTTTTGGTAATCGTGGGATATTTTTCAATTTTAACTTTTACATCTATTACTCTCATTTGTCATAAATTAGTGTTCTTAGTTCTTAGAATTAAATTTGGGAAAATCATCTAAATTCGAAATCAGAACTTGGATTAGTCTTCGTACAGTAATTAGATTTGGATGAATTTGTTGCATCAAGAAACAAAATTTCATTAGAAAATTTGATAAAATGTATTAAATAAAGTGTCTATAATTACTAAAACTTATCGTCTGATATTCTTCCAGAGTAATGTCCTTGAAAACTTCACAAAAAAAGAAAGGATCTGATAAAATAAGATGGGATATATATTAGCTTTTGAATTTTTAAAATAAAGTGTCCTACATTTACTAAATCGTATCATGTATTTATCACCATCCCATAATATATAGAAACTCATATTGGTCAAAAGAATTACGATAGCTATTTCTTTAAAAAAAAAATATATAATCAACATCATGCTAACGCTTAGTTGTATCATCAATTGCTCCAATAATGATTTGAAAGCAGGGTATAATTAAGAGCGGTGTTATTTCCACCTTTAAAGTATCTTAATTCACCACCAAGAATTATAAAATGTCATAAATACCCCTAAAATTTATAATCCACCATCCTTCCGTATATTCACTTAATCCTCATATATTCTAAGTTATTTCTATTTTATTTTATTTATTTTATTCATTTATTATTTTATTTTTTGCAATTAAATATGTATTGCAAAATATTTAAACTTCCATACCATATGACCTACAAATTATGTAAAAAAAATTTGGAAACGAAATTATATTAAGTTAAACTGGCTAATTCTGGAAGAAGTTCAAGACCTTCTATACAAGTAATCTTAATTTATTTCTCAAAAATCGTGAATTCCTACTCTTTTCACCTTCGAAAATATTTTTCTCTGACGAAAGTATTATTCACTTAAGGTGGAGAGGATGAGATTTCCAGTGAAAATGGTGATTTTTTTTTATTAAACATTAACATTTTAATTAGTTTAGTGGTGTTGGTTTATAAATTTGTAAAAAATGTAGATGAAATAAGAAAATGTTGTGAATCTGCTATGAACGGAAATTTTGCCGAGGCGAGTTGTCTCTGTCCTTAAGACGAAATTTCCCCGCAACGGTGCTAACGGATTAAATGGAAATTGTCTCCCAAGATACAACGGCAAAACTTGGAATAGGAGCACTCCAAATCCCAAGTACGACGAACTGTACTTTGTGTAGAACTTTTCGAGAGAATCTGTACAGGGAAGGCTGAATATGCAGTAGGCTTTTATTTGGATTGAAGTGAGGAATCCTGGGAATGTTAGGGTCTATTTATAAGGTTTGACAAGTAGTGTCCTTTGCGGCCAAAAAGGTACCTTTTGTTTGACTGGTTGCACCATTTTCG